TGTCACGCTTAATTCTCTTACTGGCTTATCATATCAAATCACATTAGGGGGACTACATCTCAGTTGCCAAACCACGTGGCCATCAAGTTCGCACAAAACCTTAACTAGCACACTGTATTGTTGCTGTTAAGTGCCACTGAGTCAGGTCTGACCCATAGCAACCCTGTTTAGGGTTTCTGAGGAGCAGCTAGTGAGCTTGAATCACTGACCTTGCAGTTCAAACTGACTTTGCAGTCCAGCGCACTAAACCACAGCGCATTAACTCACAGAGCCACACTGTATGGTTGCATTTAGATGCCATTCTCCAAAAAAGCAAGAGTACAGGGAAAGAAAACATCAGTGTTGCCACATCTAGGGCAGGGGGCAAGGGGTTGACTATACAGGGAGCTTTTGAGGAAATGGAAATGTTTTATATCTAGATTGTGGTGGTAATTACATGATTGTTTTGCATTTGTCAAAATCATAGAACTGTATACTAAAAAGGATGAATTTTACAGTATAAAAATTATACTCCAACTTAAAAAAAAAAAAAAAAGGTTGGGTTCAACTTCCTTCTTTCTCTTGGTCTCTTCAGTCTCTGCCCAACATCCTGTCTTCAAAGCCTATGAAGAAATGCCCTGATTCAGCCACCCTGAATAATGCTCTCCTTCTGAGAACAAAAGGTCAACCCACTAAGCATGTTTTATGCAGGGTCATGTGTCTATCTCCCCCAATCCTATCCCATCTGCCTAAGCCTGGTCACCAAGGCCAGCTCAGCATTTCTAACCTTCATTAACCCTTTCTTGCCTGATTTCCCTGGCCATCTGGAGTTCTGGTGGTGACCTGGGGGAGGAAGAAATCCTTTGTGACCCAGTACTGTGTGGGCAATAGATACTGCTTGGAAAGAGGGAGGCTCTTCACACTCAACTTTCTGCAGCTCTGGCCTACAAAATAGTCGTGTGTCCTGGGAACAGACAGTCAAAGAGGGCATCAGCCCTGGCATCAACCTTACCTCATCTCTTTCCAAGGTCACCCTTGTTACTGCTGCAAGCTTTTCTGGCCTGCAATGTCTTGGCCAGAGCTGAAGCAGCATCGGGTCCAGAGCCACCTGGACCTCTCAGGAAACCATGAAAAGAGACCTTGGGTCTTGGACAGCAGAGCAGCTGAGTCTGGTAGACACATTGAGGCATGTAGGTCCAAACTGTTCTACGCAGGTTCTCAACGAAGAACATCTAGTTGGAGTTTGATTTCTATGGTGGCTTCCCTGTGCTGAGGGCTTCATGACAAGGACCACACTAGATCTTGGTTCCCAGAGACAACGTTGAGGTGAAGACCCACTGTGTTTGAATGATTTCACTTGGTTCCCAGAGACAACGTTGAGGTGAAGACCCACTGTGTTTGAATGATTTCACTTGGTTCCCAGAGACAACGTTGAGGTGAAGACCCCACTGTGTTTGAATGATTTGACTTGGTTCCCAGAGACAACATTGAGGTGAAGACCCACTGTGTTTGAATGATTCCACCTCTCTGAGTCTCAGTTCTTCCTCTTTAAAATGGGCATGACCATCCCTACTTTGCAGATCAGTTGTGAAGCTGAAGAGATGCTGACCATGAACATACTTTACAGCACGCCAACCACATGGGGAATTATTTTCTGAGATCTGTGGAAAGATGCATCAAATTGACCTGGGTGGTCAGAAGAAAGAAGCACAAAAGAGGGAGACTGAGATGGGATTTTGAAATCTGGGCATTGACACTGATGGAAAGAATGGGTTGTGTTTTAAAAAGGGAAGTGGAGGAAACTACAAAGATAGAGAGGAAGAACAGTAACAAACCTGTATCCAGGATGGGGAGAACAGTTTGATCAAGGGTGAGCCCCCAACTACCCTGGAATCAAGCACAGGTCAGTAGCCCATGAGGGCCACTCAGAACTGCAGCCAAGGCCTCCAGTGCCCAGAGATTGCCAGTTGACTATCCCCATCCCAGCCTGCGAAGCCTCTCCAAGCTGTAGGGGAGGTGGAGAGAGAGACAGCTCCTTCCTCTGGAGCCACCAGGACCAGTGCTCAAACTTCTTTCCCCACAGCAGGGTGGGGGGTCCCCTGGCTGTAGGCTTGGACCACAGGTGGCCTGACTGAGCTGGGCTACATGCCCTTCTTCAATTTCTTGGGCAGGGATGGGAGTGATTGATGGGTTTTCAGTGGGTTCCAGGCAGGGGTTTGGAGCTGTTGTAGACTAGCTGACCCGCAGGGGCCTCAGATGGCCACTCATGGCTGGGGCTGACCCATCTAGGCCAGGTCCTAACTGAGGAGACTAGCAGCCTCTCCTTCAAAGAAGGACTGGGGAAAGTGGGGCAAGCTCAGATTGCCCCAGTTTAACCCTTTGCAGCTCACAGCTGGGGACAAGTCCTACTTGGGGACAAGAAAGGACTTTTTGATGAAAGGGGGCAGAGAGGAGATGAGCTAGAGGGACCAAATGGCAGGGCTGGGGTTAAAGCCCAGGGATTCTAGCTCACAGTCTTCAGCCCTGTGTCAACCATGAAAATATCAACTGGCATTTGCAGCTGAGTGAGGGCCTCCATGTAAGTGCTGGACCAACAAAGAGACCCAGGCAGAGATCTTGACCTAAAGGTCTCCACTTTACCAAACACTTACCCCATAGGGGACCCTGCCTCCCACTATAGAAAGAAGAGACAACTGCAGTTGAGAGGCTAGGGAGGCCTCTTTCCTATACCCTGGGATACTGCAGAGTGAGGGCCTTGCAGAGAAGCTGATTACCATGGCCATGACCTTGGCTTCTGGCCCTCTGGTTAACCTCCCCAGCCACTTCCTCTCCTGTGTATCCTACTGTTTTTGTCCCACCCCAGTGGTCACGTTACTCCTCTGGCCTCCCTCCTGACCCATGGTTGGACTCCTTAGAGCTATTGTCATTTCTTCCTTGCTTGCTCTTCTTCATGTTCTGGTTTTTGTCAGCATCTTATAAAAATTTTAAATTCCAGAGCTGGCAGGGCCTCTGAGCTCCCTTGATCCAATCTTTCTTGCACAGATGGAGACACTGAAGCCCCGGGCTCGCTTGTCAGAATCAATGAGCGAGCCAGGACTAAGTCTCTGACCCTCAGATTCCTGTTTTCCACCTGTTGTTAGATCAGTCACTTGTGACTCAGCCTATGTCTGTTTGTCTGTCCTTGGACCAACAGAGTTGGCATGGCTTTTACTTAGACCTTTGTGGTCGAGGTCATACTGAAGCTGTTTTGTGGCTTGGCCCAGACTGGGTGGGGTTGGCTGTGGGGCCTATAGGCTGAGGGCTGGGCGTCGCGATGGAGAGCAGGTCCCAGCAGTGAAAGCAGATTCCGATCTGTAGCCCATGCTATTCTCCCACCCTCACCACCACCCTCTCTCCCTACAGAGATCCCACCCAGAGCAACATTCAGAGGGAACAGAGCTCCCCTGGGTGCAATGGCTAAGTGCTTGGCTACTGACTGAAAGGTTGGCAGTTCACACCCAGCCAGGACATGGTGATCTGCTCTGGAAAAGACTACAGTGTAGAAGACTCTGTGAGACAGTTCTGTT